ACCACCCTTTTTGTCGACGTAATTTTAATGCGCACTGTGCCCGTGATTTTAAAGGGAACTTTCCTAGCAGGGTTGAAATTAGGATCATGTTCATATGAGTTCAGTGTGTTCGAATGAGTACGCAGCCGACTTCCAAGAGGACGAATTATTATAAGTGAGTTCGAGCAATTAGAGTTGGGCTACAAGAACAAAACATAGCGTTACCACTGAAGAGATAAGCGCACGAAAAAAAGGAACTTAGAACGGCGCGTGTTAGTAAAAGCCTGTTAAAACACCGCGAGTCGAATATTTCCTTCAAAAGGCAAAACTTATATATTATAATAAACTTTGTACAGTCATTCGTAATTTTTAATTTCCAGGAACAATATATGTTAGAAGAATGCTTATTCATATAGTGCAGTAAGGGCATATATCGGTGAGTGGTCTTGCCTAGTTGGGCATGGACTGATTAACGACTGGTACTGGCGGTAGTATATCGGTTACGGAGAAGGAAGCCGTTTGCAGAATATACGAATTACGCAATTGGTCTAATATTTTCTCCTATATTACCTACTTCTCAGATACATTGTGTTTTTAGTTAAGTTGTTACAGGACATTTTATTCAATGTCCTCCACCTGCTTTTGTCTTCGCATTGCAAGACGATTTATGTTATATGCTGACAGAGTATGCTTCAACTTACATGCTTGATAGTATACCACATTTGAAAATTTTGGATGGATGCGTTCCGGGTCCATACAACGAAATCCACAGTAAATGTAGTTATTGCAGTGTGCATGGGCTTTGCGCAACAAAGGTGTATAAAGTAATAAAGCTGGGGTATGGCGAAATTCCCAAATTTTATGAGTCTGTCATCCTTGCCCATCTTGTAACGCGTAGGTGGATTACTTGGCTTACACATCTCAGATGATTAGGGTGCACGTGGAACACTAATGAGTGATCCTTGGAGGTCTAATGAACCACCCAAAAGGTCAAGATATTCTGGGGTGTTTTCTCACACGTGGCTGGTGTTCACCGATTTGTTATGTTCATTGGAAAAAGTTTGTCTTTCACGAGCGACAATCAGCAGTCGATGAAAACGATCACATGGTGATCAACACTCGGTTTCAAATCGTACCAGACCGAGAAGCGCGGTGCCAGGAGATGCTAGCGGGGTTCGACTTTACCGTCGTACATCGCCCAGAGAAACAGTATCTCAACGCAGACGCGTTTTTGCGGATTCCCACGCGTGAGCCCCACAGCTACATTGTTTGTGAGGACCTAGATCTAAATGCCCTGTCAGTGACAACTTCGGCTGTTAACTGTGCTGACCCCCAGCCCAGTGATCCAGACGCGGTCTCATCTACCACAGGCTCGCACAAGGCTGTGTTTTACCTCTAAGAATAAGATGTCGAGGTAAGCCGTGAAACGTAAGCTCTTTGGACATTCTGTCAAAATTCATCCATGAGAGAAAATGTACGGTAGATGCACTATCCCATGAAATCCAACGATTTTTACAAGTAACTCCCTCTTGCTCAAACGCAGCCCAAGCTATGGCCCCCAAAGTCTTACAGAAATAAAGTAATGGTCGTTCTTCACAGTAGGGCATATTGTGATTTGTGAAGGAATATAACGTTTTATAGAAACACCAGCTTTTTTAGCAAAGTGGAGAATTTCGAGAAACTGGAAATCGGGCGTACTAGGTAAACTTAAGTTTTACACATAGGGGAAGCCCGTTCATGCAAAACCACCTAATATATAAAGCAGCACAGGTAAAATTACGTTGGAAAATAATCGTTTTGTCAAGTTTTCGAGTACATATGCTTACATATTACGTGCAATATAATGTATGGCTGTTACCGAAGAGCCTAAATTTCGAGTAGGTACTCTAACACGTTTTCACGATAACTGCGGACATAAACTAGAATAAGGTATGACTATTTTATTTCATGTTTTGCTAGTATTGTATCTTTGCAGTCAGCTTTTTTTTCACTTAAAACAAACTTCTTATTTCGCACACTATTGACCAAGCTTAAGACAGAACAATGCCAATAGTGACTGCACAAGAAGGAGCTTGTTTTAGGTTTTTTCCTGCCTTTCGGGTTTTTTGACGGCGCCGAAGATGTGCTTTACGAATAAACCTCATTATTATTATAATTACACTTAGAAACTCTGAATGGTCGAGAATATGCGAGGCCCATTTTACTCAATAGAAGAAGTTAAGGCGTTCT